CTCATTACTAAGCCCCTGGTCATCTTAGGCACACGATCAGTGCCTGCTTGGGCTTATTACAACACGGATATTTTTAAAGACGGACACTGTGAAATAGGCCTGATCAGATAAGCATCTTAGAGAGAAAGCTGCTGGATCTGCTCTTAACACACACAATTAGAAAGGTCATTCAGCCGGAGTACATGATGTTTGACACATATACGACGTTTGTAATATTTAGAGAAAACGGAGAAGTGAACATACCTGTGCTGAACTTATATGTTTCGGTGAACAAGGTCTGGCCCAGGAGATCATACTGAAGAAGACTTGATGATTCTGGAGGAAAATCTACAGATGCCTCTAGTCCTTTTCTCCATGTGTAGACAATTTCACGATTCGTGTAAGCATCTGCAGGCAGAAGAGAAAGCAGTTGAGGAATTGATGGATGGATGGATGGATGGATGGATGGACAGAAAGATAGATCTTACAGCTTCCAAAGTAGAGAGGACATGTGTGTCCATCCATAGGAAAGTCCCTCAGCACCATTGGACATACTGCACTTACAGTCAACCTAAAATATTGAGAAAATGTATTCAATGACCTGAATTAACTTGAAATTATGTGTGCAATATGAAAACCATTGATAGAAATTTGCATTAATGTGCCATTAGTTAACATTGGTTAATGCAATTAACTACCAAGAATCAATATTGGTGTGTCTCTGGACCACAAAACCAGTATCAAAATAGTCATAGTATAGATTTATACATCATTTGAACTCTGAATGATTAGGCTTTCCATTAATATATGGTTTGTTAGGATAAGATAATATCTGGCCAAGATACAGTTACAGGAATACATAAAATTTGTGGCTTTCAAAAATGTTATATTGAGCAAATCACATTTAAAGCTGTCCAAATTAAGCTTTAGCAATGAACATTACTAATCAAAGACTGAATTTTGATATATTTATAATAGGAAATGTATGAAATTTCTTCATGGGACATTTTTTTTTACTTTTATTCTAATGAAAAAATAAATCATTTTGACCCATCCAATATCTTTTTGGCTATTTTGTGGTCCAGGGTCACATAATATACACCAACGTACTGGTCATTAATTGGCATATAGCATGATACAATTTTCTGCAGTTATATTGTGTCAAAAGTCAGAAGAAAACTAAAATTGGCAAAAAGACACTTTTGTACAATTCATTTGAAATGGATGACAATGATGACAAAACTGCTATTCTGCACTGCTAAGAGTTTATAAAGTAGAACTTCTAAACACAATTAGTCTGATTATAATTCATAAACAATGACATTTAACATATATTAATTAACATACATTTTTCTGGGATTTTTTTTTTTTTTCAGAGATAAAATGCAGACTCAGTCGATGCCAACAAGGATTAATAACATTTAAAATGTTTGAAATTTTATCATCAGAATTCAATTAATGAGTTAAGAATGATAATTGTGATGTGTTATTTGTTTATTACTGCAACAAGTTACTCCGAAACTTGTTGAACTGAAGATAATAAATTAATTAATTAATTTCCAAATAGTGGAATTAATCGTTTTAAAAGAAGGTGTAAAAGGCAAATATCACCAAACCATCAGTATCTATATTACTCTGAACAACTGCCTATACAAGTAACAAAATTTATATGCTAAATTTAGTATCACTGTTTTTACATGTTACTGTTAATAAAAAATATAACAGTTCATTATAGGTTAACGTTAGCCCCATAAATAATATTAGCAGATTTAGTAACAAACAATATAACTCATTTTAATAATGTAAAATGCTTTAGAACGCTTTATTTTTCATTGTTAATTTATGTTAACTGATGTTAATAAAATTTATATTGCTCAAAGGTAAACTAAAACCAAGAGTTCTCTAAAACTCTCCTAATCTGATTGTTTTACCTCATGGTATAAAAGACTGTGCCATTTTGCATGATTCGGAACAGCTTGTTTGGGGACGTCATGTTGTGTGCCAGTGACTTCCGTGCGTTGCGGAAAAATGTGTCAGGTGTCCAGATTTTGTCCACCATACGGTTATTCAAAGGCAAGATTTCAATGGGCCCCTGAAAGGCTAACCTCTCATCAACCCACATTTGGCGGAAAAACATATCCATGGTGAACTCCTGAGAGAGAGAGAACCGATGTGAATCATGACCTTTTCACAGTTGCAAATGATATGAACTCATAATTCAGGATCTCTTTTAAGCATATTGTGAAAAAGACTTGGAATACTAATATTAGTGTCCTCATTTTAGTATGAGGGTCTCCTACAAATGGAAATTAAAAGCATCAAAACAATAAATGTTTTTTTTAGGCAAAAATAATACACTTTTTTTCTCAGACATAATTTCAGAGGACACCCACTAAAATGTTATCGCAATTGTTTATATTACATAAACCATGTTGGATGGCTTCATTTAAAAATCATTTGGTGTATTAAAATACAAGTTTTTACTTGAAAAAAAAGAGGCTTTTTAAAATTTTTTTTTACATTTTTAATCATTTAAAATGTAACAAAACATACTGTGATAAATTATGCTTTTGGCAGTTCATTCTGCTGTGGTGACCCCGAATAAGGGATAAATAAAGCTATAATTTTATATATTTTAATAAGTACACTCTCAGAAAAAAGGTACACAGTGGTACAAGCAATGTTCCTAAAGGAACAGTTTTGTACCTTTGTAAAAGTACTTTATAGTACAGAAAAGACCTCTTATTAAACTATTCTGTACCGTTTATGGTACAATTGAAATGAAGGTACACAGTTGTTCTCATCAAAAGATACATAAGTGTTGGACAACTCCTTCTTTATTGCAATATCTATAAAAACAAATATTGCTGGAAAGGCAAAGTGATTTTATGAAAAATGTCCATATTAAAACATGAAGCATCATTTAAAAGCATATGCTTAAAGAAACTCATAAACATTAATTAATTAAGTTCTTTAAAACAAAACAACTGGTAAAACAAAACTATAGGTATTGTAACCTAAACATTTGGTAAACAATTTCTGATAAATACAGTTTCATTATCCGCACCTTTTAGCGTTCACTTTCCACTATAAGTATGTGAGCTGGCAAAAGTCCTGCATATGCAAAGTGTTCATGCAGACATTTTACTATTGTAAAACTAATCAAACATTGGGCATATCTCATTACAATACTTTTGCATCATTTTATTTCTATTTTAAAAATAAGTAAATTAAATGAACTTTTAAGTGATCACAAAGGTATTGTGTGAAAATTGGAGAAATGTTTTATATTGTACATGGGAGAATGTATTCCTGTAACATGTTTGTGAAAAGTGTTGTAAGATGTTTAGCAAAAAATAGATATTTTGATTTATGTTTAAGTATTTTTTATTGTTTATTGTAAATGGAAAAGGAGCATTTACACAAAAAGAAACTTTAAAAAAACATTGTTTAAAAATGTATTTGATGTTTTATATTTACTGAAAATAAATTGACGCATTTTGAATAAAGCAAAATGCTTTTAAATAGTTCTTGAAGGATAACATTTGACACTGTTAAGGTACAAAGTGTCTTGTCACTGTAGTGGTACCTTCATGGATCATATTTGTACCTTTGATGAAGGTACAATACTGTATCTGCAGATTTTAAAAATTAAAGGTAAATTTTGGTTTTCCATGGTACAAATCATGTCCTTAAAGGTACAAACTGCAATGATAAAAATAATTTTTTTTACAATTCTGTTCTATAAAAAGGTACTGAACTAGTGACAAGGGTTTGCACCTGCTTTATTATAACATTGTATAATTTTTTCTGAAAGTTTACATATTAGTAGTTGTGCGTTTCATTTTCACATATACATATCTGTTACGCTAAATGACAATGTAACATAAGTTCACCCTATATTATATTTTCACAGAAGTTATTAAAACAATAAACTAGACTTTTTTATTCTATTTGCTTTCTATGAATGTAAAATCACTTTTGTATATGCAGACACTAAAATGAAACGTCTTGTCTTGAACAGATATTTAGTAAAACATACTTTACAGAAGCCAGAAGGTTGTATATATAAGTGTTACGTTTTCTTACCATATTAACATCTGATACTGGTCCAAAACTTGTAACAAATATGTCTGTTTTGACCTCAGTCACAGAGACTGCAAAGGTTAACAACAGGTTATTATGTGGCTTTTAGAGCAAAATAAAGTAAAATACAGAATGAAAATACAAAATGCATATTTCTATGCTTACCTCCAGATCCTGGCCGTAGTCGATTGTCATAGCCCTCAAGAAGTCCGTCTAGAATCCTTGTTATATTTTCTGAATTTATCTTTTGCTTTCCTATTACATTTGTAACGCTAAGCAGAGAGAAATGAAGTTAGACTTACTGTACATAACATGAAGGATTTTAAAAACATTTAGTTAGTATAACTAGCTCAGTGCATGGACTCACCTTGTAAGACATAAAAAGGCCAAAAGTAGAGCCATTTCTGTGGCCAAAATTAAATAAATAAATGAAGCTGTCAATAGTTAGAAGTCATAATGTACTGTATAAAGCACTACAGATGGAATGAAGCACTGTAGGCTACACTATGTATGACTGTCAGTAGGCCTACATGCTGTGAAGTGAATGCTTGAGGATTATCAAATTAAGAGATTAGTGAAATCCACTAGCTTTTTTAGCAACAGGTTAAAAAGTAGCTCAACTAGCAAACTGAACATAAACGAGTTGTTACTTCTTGAAAGTTCTGCAGCTTCACTTAACACATCACCAACGTAACCTAAACATTTCTCCAGTCTGAAGATTGATCTTCTCTGACAGTAAATTAGATTTAAATAAATAAAAAGTAAAGTCATTTCAAACCAAAAACAGCAGTCGGTGTTTCTACAGTGACAAGAAACGCTTTCCACCACAGTTAGCTATTTGGTGTATATTCCGTTTGATATTTCTTTACAGCGCTCTCCGATACACTAGGTGGCTCGTTTTCTTTGACACGCCACTATATTGAACTGCAGAAGAAGGCACTTCGAAATATTACCAGAATGTATGACAAACATATCTACTTCATTGGCTGTAGTTATTGCTGTTTTTGCGACCGGCGTGTGTTTGTATGATCTCGAGCAGACGCTTTGATGAGAGGCCAGTAAGGCGAGCGGGACATGTCGGTGCATTTTGAGGAGAGGAGCGGGGTGATCCCGTGTAAAACTGCATGGGGCTCCTGGTATCAGACCATGGAGGAGGTTTACATCGAAGTCAATGTTCCTCCTGGCACTTCAGCTAAAGAGATCAAGTGCAACATCGGGAGCAAACAGATCGAGCTTCGAGTCAAAGACCAGCAGATTTTTAAGGTATGGATGACCACTGAGCAGGAGCCTGTAAAACTGCTTTAAAAAGGAGCTTGAGTGTTTAATAGGACAGGATTGTTTTAAATGGTCGGATCAGTGTGACAACTTGTGGAAAATAATTGTGTTGTGCTTTAACAGACACCTAAAAGTTTAATAAAAGGGGTAGTTCACCCCAAAATGAAAATTTACTCAATTTACTCCTCTTAGTGGTTTCAAAGCTTTAGGAGTTTCCTTGGTCACACTTTACAATAGTTCATTAGTTAATGTTAATTCATGCATTTACTAACATGAACGAACAATGAACAATACATTTACTATATTTGTCCAACATAAAAGAGAAACTTTAAATATGAAAAACATTAAAAGTAATCCATTTCAGAAATCTCTCACTTGTAATAAGTGAGCAAAACCTGTACAAATACTTTACAAATACAAATACTGTACAAAACCTGTCAGTGAACTATGAGGGCAAAAAAAATATATATATATTAATTAAATAATCGTTCATTAATTGTAATCAACTTAAAATGTTCAATTATTCTAGATTTTGATTTTAGACCAAATCACCCTGCTCAAATCATACAGTATATTATGTTTGACAGAAGAAAGAACCTAGTAAAGGGGGAGTAATTGATGACAGAAATGTATTTTTTGTGGTGAACTATTCCTGTAATTAGTGAATGAAATGTGGGTCAAAGAAGAAAAGGGGGTTAATTGTTTATTTTCACTGTGGTTTACAGAACAGACTCACTAAATTGTCCTTCAGCTCTCAATATAAAAACTTGTCAAGCATACTTAGAACATGAATAATAAAAAAGACTTTAAGGATCACAGTGCAGCCACAAAATACTAATTAATTGTCATTGTAATTTTTTACAACTTCCTCTGTACTAAGTTTTAGATATTGGTCAGCAAGGTGTTTTTAATCAGTAAACATACAGTAATATGATCATTTATTATTTTCAGTACTTTATTATAAATTGGACATTTAAAACAAACTTGACACTCACATTTGACACATTTTCCTATGTACATTAATTTTGACTTAAATGTATATGCTATTATTACACATCATTTGAGGTTTTGTGCTTGAATTTAGTCTTTAAAACTGATATCAATTCAATGTAAAAAAATATATATTTTTTTCAATTTAACTTGTGTGTTTTAACTTACACACCCACCTATATCCTCCTTCATCCAAACAGCAGTCAATGCCTAATGTTTTTATTTTCCTTTGATAATCTGTTTTGTTCAGATGTACATGACAGCAAGGAAAGATCTGTCACTACATCTGTTTCATTCTCTTAAAGACAGTGGTCTGAAGCACAGACATGAATGTGCGTGGGCATCTATTATAATTGAAAATGTTGTTGTTATTATTGTTCTTAATCTGCTCTGGAAGCCTATGGCTGGCTGCCTGCAAAATTGTATGGTAAATAGTTTGTAATTTGGCGCACAGATAAAGGACAGTCCGGATATTAACCAAAGCAAGAGAATCTCTTCCTCAGTTCCTCTAGTGTCAGCAACTGGTCAAAGTTTCTCTCAGGGTTAAGTTACTTTTCACATGTAAGGGCTAGGGTTGTAACAATATACCGGTATGACGGTTTACCACGATTTGAACGTGCACGATTATCATACCATGAACAATTGCATATCAACGGTTTTAACCCTTAAAGACCGAGACAGCCGCCCGCCGCTAAAAATAAGTATTGCTCTTAAATGTTTAATAACTTTTGATCCGCTGATCCGATTCATACAATTCAAAGATTGGCATAAAGAAGAGAATCTCAGCTTTCCAGTGCTTTCAGACTTTCAGAGGCTCCGGAATCAGTGCGGTTACGTCATCAACATTTGACAACGCTGATTTGACAAAGAAACGCTCGTCACTGTGTCTCCGGACAAATCAGACATGATACATTGATGCATTGTCCCTCCTCCATGCCCAGATTGGTTCAAACTCGCTATATCACAACCAATAAGCATAGGTTTCGCTTTTGTTTGTGGACCAAGCTTTTTGAACAACACGGAATGAGAGAAAGGCATACATTTATGCGCGGCTAAATAAAACGCAAAAAAAAAAAAAGTTTTGCATGAAATAATTCTCATACTAAGTACTTTTGCATGCACAGCAGCACAGAAACATGACAAAACAGTGACACAGCAAAGACGAACTGCTGCTCTTGGTGTTTTCAAAAGACGCAAATGAAGATGCAGCTGTTTGTCTGCATTGCAGACAACCATATCCATATCCATATCCACAGACAACCATATCCATGCTGGCACATAAAACCTAAGGATGTTCCATATTGAATCTAGTTTCGTTATGTAACTATTTATAGTATAGTAAATATTTATATCTATTTTTTTACTGAGGATTTGCACCATGTTTATTTGGACTTTATTTGGACTTTGACACATTATTTATTATTTTCTTATTTTTATTTGTTCATTGTAAGTGGTGTTGTTTATAGTAACTAAAAATATATTATTTGGAAAAAGTCAAATTTGCTTCACTGTTCTATTATTTTGTAACATTTGTAACATACCGTATACCGCGAAACCGTCAAACCGTGGTATTGTTTTAGACGATTATCATACCGTGAAAAATTCATACCGTTACAACCCTAGTAAGGGCTAAGATTATTTCTTCTGATGAGGATGTATCACTATAACACTTTTGCATACTTTGAACTTGGTGTTAATGATTTTCATAATTTGAGCTTATCTGTACAGTTCCAGTACAGGTCAGCGCCACCTTGTTTTTAAAAAATACAAATACCTGAGTAGATTCCTAAGATCATGGGTCTCAAACTCAATTCCTGGAGGGCCGCAGCTCTGCACAGTTTTGCTCCAACCCTAATCAAACACAGCTAATGCAACTATTCAAGGTGTTCGAGACTGTTTTGAACAACTTGATTATTTGGATCAGCTGTGTTTAATCAGGGTTGGAGCGACACTGTGCAGAGCTGTGGCCGTCCAGGAATTGAGGTTGAGACCCATGATCTAGGTCATGCTGAAAACATCCATACAAATTGTGGTGCTGGTATAAGCAGGTCTTATCCTCCATTTTGATTTTCCTCAAAAACCTCAAGTGGTTTGGCTCTGGGGGCCCACGTTTTCCCTAATCATTGTCACAAGGCTTTTAATATTTTTTAAGTTAAGTTTAATATATATACGGGCGAAGCAGTGGCGCAGTAGTGCTGTTGCCTCACAGCAAGAAGGTCGCTGGGTCTGTGGTTCGAGCCTGGCTCAGTTGGCGTTTCTGTGTGGAATTTGCATGTTCTACCTGCGTTCATGTGGGTTTCCTCCGGGTGCTCCGGTTTCCCCCACAGTCCAAAGACATGCAGTACAGGTGAATTGGGTAGGCTAAATTGTCCGTAGTGTATGAGTGTGTGTTTGAATGTGTGTGTGGATGTTTCCCAGAGATGGGTTGCGGCTGGAAGGGCATCCGCTGCGTAAAAACTTGCTGGATAAATTGGCGGTTCATTCCGCTGTGGATTATGGACCCCGGATTAATAAAGGGACTAAGCCGACAAGAAAATGAATGAATGAATATATATACAATCATAATATACTGGGTACATCAGTTGGGGGGTGGCTGTCCCAACCACTAACCCATAAATTTTAACTTGATGAAAATGATGTTGAAATAATTTTGTATTTCTTAAACTGTTTGTGTGTGTGTGTGTGTACGTGTTTTTGTGACATGTCAGGACACAAACCTGTATAATGACATAGGTATGACACAGGTATTAAAAAAAGGAGGTGAAATATGAGGACATTGGTCCTTTCTCAAAATGTGTATAAATCCCACAGAATGAGTTTATTAAGAGAGTAAAGCTGCACACAGTCTCCTGTGATGGTTGGGTTTAGGGGTAGGGTGGGGTGAGGGCAATATAATATATGGTTTGTGCTGAATAAAATGAATGGAATTATATGTAATGTATCCACTTTTTACAAAAACAAATGTGTGTGTGTGTGTGTGTGTGTGTGTGTGTGTGTGTGTGTGTGTGTGTGTGTGTGTGTGTGTGTGTGTGTGTGTGTGTGTGTGTGTTTATTTATTGCTTACTATAATGTTTTTTTTTACCTGCTTAGAAATGACTTTTCTTCACTTCTGGTCACATGGATCGCCTTTAGGGCGTGTCTTGTTTCTGCACTGCATTGATCTATTTGTCAGTCCACTTTTATTTTGTTACCAAAACATATCTTTTAACACCCCAATCAGTTCTAAAAGGACAAAATCATGCTCCGCCCTACATTTTTTTTAATTTCATGACCATTTCAAGTGGATGTACGTCACTTTCTGTTTTGACTTACCAGCCATTTTATTAGGTACACTTTACTAGTACTGAGTTAGACCCCCTTTTGCTCTCAGAACTGCCTTAATCCTTTGTGGCATAGATTCAACAAGGTGCTGGAAATATTCCTTAGAGATATTGGTCCTTATTGACGTGATAGCATCACACGGTTGCTGCATATTTGTTGACTACACATCCTTGATGCAAATCTCCTGTTCCACCACATCCCATATGTGCTCTATTGGATTGAGATCTGGTGACTGTGGAGGCCATTTGAGTACAGTGAACTCATTGCCATGTTTAAAAAACCAGTCTGAGCTGATTCGGGATTTATGACATGGTGTGTTATCCTGCTGGAGGTAGCCATCAAAACATCCATACTTCCAGCCTTCCCTTGTGGTCAAGGGAAGGACATGGTCAGCAATAATACTCAGGCAGGCTGTGGCGTTGACACAATGCTCAGTTGGTACTATTGGGCCCAAAGTGTGCCAAGAAAATATCCCCCACACCATTATACCACCACCACCACCAGCCTGAACCTTTGATACAAGGCAGGATGGATCCATGCTTTCATGTTGTTGATGCTAAATTCTGACCCTACCATCAGAATGTTGCAGGAGAAATCGAGACTCGTCAGAACAGGCAACATTTTTTTAAATCTTCTATTGTCCAATTTTGGTGAGCCTGTGCAAATTATAGCTTCAGTTTTCTGTTCTTAGCTGACAGGAGTGGCACCTGATGAGGTCTTCCGCTGCTGTAGCCTCAAGGTTCGGCGTGTTGTATGTCTTCTGGATACCTCAGTTGTAACGAGGGGTTATTTGAGTTTTTTTAATCAGCTGGAACCAGTCTGGCCATTCTCGTCTGATTTGTTGTTGCTGATCCACCCTGGTATACAGCTCATCATTCAATTTTTTTTTTTGTTTTGTTTCGTTTTATTTAAAAGATCAAACCCTGTTCAGTCATTTATGGCATAGAGACATTGAAAGAGTCATGGAAATGCATTGGTCAGAATAAGAGCAATCTTAGAGCTTAACCTGAATACAAGTGCCCCAGTTGGTCCATTATAGCACTAAATCATTTATTTGTCCAATAATAGCACTCTGCTTATTCCTCATCTATCTGCTTATCTGCATTATGTACATTATAAACACACTTTTAAGCTAACTTAAACTCAGCATCTATATATTACTGCTGATCTCTGTTGATATGAAGTGCATCTTCTATCCTCTTTTGTGAGAGATACAACCGTCTGCCAAGTGAATAAATGTAAATGGTAAAGTTGTATGTCTTGATAGGACGTCCTGTCATGTAAACACACAATCATATTGGAGCGTGTATAAGTGTAATTACTGTCATGCACCTCTGTTGCGTGCTGCAGCGTGTGGCACAGGCATATGAAAAGACCCACTGAGCTACATGTTGTTGCTAGTGATGCTAACAGAACCTGACAGCTACTTCTAAATGCTAAATTCAGTTTTCTGTCGTCTCTTAGGGGAAGCTGTTTGGATCTACAGTCTGCGATGAAGCAACGTGGACATTAGGTACAACTAAAAGCCATTTACCAATTCATGTCAGAGTAAATAATGCTCGTGTCTTTCCTCAGCCGCTCCGAAAAAACAAACTTCTTTCTGCTTTCAGAGGATAAAAAACTGATCCGTATAGTTCTTATGAAGACAAACCGAGAGGCTGGGAACTGCTGGCAGTCTCTTTTGGAGGGCGAGTTTATGGCCGACCCGTGGGTGCAGGATCAGATGCAAAGGAAGCTCACGCTGGAGAGGTTTCAGAGAGAGGTGCAGGACTATTATTATTACACCCTGCTGGGGTCACACTTCTATCACACGTAGCAGATATTCAGGGAAATAACTCGCACCTTGTCAAAATGGCATTGTCACATTGGTGTAAAAGCCAAGTATGTGCATGCAAGAGCCTAAAACACATATTTCCGCACACCTGTCAGATGGCCGGCGGCTAGAGCTGCACGATTCTGGCTGAAATGAGAATCACAATTTTTTTTTCCGTGCTTAAAATCAAGATCACGATTCTGTAGATATAAAATAAAGGTTAATATGAGTAGGCTGTTATTATTGTTATTCTCAAACATATGATAAATCAACAATAATCTTTGGCCTATGTCTACCGTTGGATAAAATGCTACATTTTGTATAGACTTGGAATGACTTTAAATATGTCCTGGTTGTTAATTCACAGCAAAGTGATAACATCAGATTATAATTATTTATATTAATTATGTTTATAATTATAATTCTAAAGTTGAATTATTATGTTTGAGACATATACTTGTCGTTTGTCATTGACATTATTAGACCATGTTTTCACTGGTAAAATGAAACATTTGTCATTATCAGATTCCCTCTTGCATTATATTCAACATTATATAGGCTAGAGTAGTTCTAGGCCATACTCACACAATGTACAGAAGCCTTGAACCGGGCTAAAGCACACTTGTCCCCCCTCCCGTCTCCCCCGACAGCCCGCACTCACATTACATTCGGGCCTGGGCACGATTACGTCATCGATGCTGCGCTCTTCAGTAAGCGCTCTCGCTCAGCACAGTGGACAATTCTTTAGTTATATCGTTTGGGATGCGGTGACAGGCAGTCAGATATTTCGCCAAACAGATCCGCCACTTTTGGCACTGATAAACAACCATAAAGTCCTGCAGGAATTAGGAGGTTGCTGAAAGTGCGCAACTGTCGTGCAGTGAAGGGTTTGCGTTCATTGAACAGTAAGAATGATTAATAAATCCATATGAAACAGTCCCTTAAAAGTCATGTCTCGCTTTCAGTTTCTGGTTTTGACGCCTTTTGCACTCACACACAAGCGTACCACGCCAAAACCCAAGTGAATCGCGCTCAGGCACACCACTTCTAACCGGGCCAGGGGCGGCCAAGCGCTTTTAGATGGCCTTGTAAAACAACAACAGGACACGGCAGATTTTGCTCTTCTTGGCTTTGTCGCTGTTCATCAAAATGACAACAAGGTTTGTTTGAGCTCGGGTCGACCATAGGTTGTTAATATATGTATATATTAGTACGGTGTAATGTAGGGCTGTGCAATTAATCGAAAATCCGATTTCGATTTTGGCTTCTAGCGATTATGAAAAACCATTAATCGAGATAAACAATTATTGCATCATATATCGCCCCCTTTTCAGTTTTACACATTTGTTGCTATTAAAAGCGCGAAAGATCGTATGCTTGCGCACACACACACACTCAGAAGCATGCGGTTAGCATTCGGTCTCATTCGCACACTGAAACGAGCGAAGCGTACAAATCTATAGTCATCTTAAGGTCAGCGATTTAATGGTCAAATAGGTGTCAAAACGCGGTGTTTAGTGATTATTCATATTAACCCTCATTTGTGTAATAAACAAACGAGTTGAGAATCAAAAGACACGTGAAAGAGAAACCATTAAAGTGACAGCGCCATATTCCTGCTGCCCCCTTTTTTTATCATTAATCAAACCACAAAAGGAGAAAATCCCTCACTGCTCTTGACTGAAGGACTTTTGTAGATAAAGTCTTCTTCTTATAGTGAAGTTGCTTAAAGCAGTTTGTTTCATTTTTTTTTTTCTATTGTATTTATTTCTCTTTCCTTTCCTTTGCGGGTGGAAAATAACTATACATGCAGTCGAAGTCAGAATTATTAGACCTCCTGAATATTAGTTACCCTTTTCCTCCCCAATTTCTGTTTAATGGAAAGAAGATTTTTTTTCAACTTATTTCTGAACATGTAAGTTTTAACAAATCATTTCTAATAACTGATTTCTTTTATATTTGCTATGATGATATTTGCACATAATATTTTACTAGATATTTTTCTAAATACAAGCATTCAGATTCAAAGTGCGATTCAAAGGCTTAATTAGGATAATTAGGCAGTCAAAAATATATAATATATAATATATACAATATATAATATTGATAATTATAATATTGACCTTAAAATAGGTTTCAAAATATTTAAACCTGCTTTTATTGTAGCCAAAATAAAACAAAAAAGACTTTCTCCAGAAGAAAAAATATTAGAGGAAATACTGTTAAAATTCCATGCTCTGTTAAACATCATTTGCGAAATATTTATTAAAAACAAAATTCACAGGATCGCTAATAATTTTGACGTCAACTGATAATTGTTTTGAATAATCATGATTATTATTTTTCCCAAAATCGAACAGCCCTGCTGTGTATTTAAAAATGCCGCTTTCTTTGTTTTTATTCTCCTGCATGTGTACACGTTACTGACATTTCTCTCTAAACCAATAGCGTTCAGCTGTGTGTCTTGCTCTGCATTTTAGTACTCTTTTATTGAGCTATGTACCCTTTGAAAAGGGTGACCAAAAAGTGGTACGGTACCGTTCACTTTTACGTACCTTTTGACAGTGGAAACGGTAAAAAAACGTACCAAACTGCATCGTACCATACCGTACTACTTTGTGTTCGCTATAAAAGAAAAAACACATCAAACGCTTGTCATAATCATAACTTTAAAATGCAATATGATCACTGAGTGTGCTCATGTCATGGCTGCGGTTACTTTTCAGTTTAGTTTGCAACAAACTGAACGTTATTTGCAATTTTATTAGCTTTTATTCATAGCCTATGCAGGTTCTGTTAACTAAAGTAGATGATATAGGCGGGCACGCATACGTCCTTTTGGTAGTAAACAGTGTGTCATCTTATGTGTGATTTCGCAGCCACGAATGCGTCATTACATGAAGACAGAAATGACATTTTTGGGTGAATTATACCTCATAAATACAGTATGTGACACTTTTGACACCATTTGGAGGTTTCATGTTGCTGAGCAACCATAATATAATGTGAAGACAATGTGCAACCCCCTTTACGCTTCACTCCTGAACATGAAAATATCATTGCCTGAATTAAAATCATGTGCAGGGTCGAATCAAGATTGCTAATTTTTTTCAGATTAATTGCACAGCCCTACCGGCGACTTAAAACAAATATGCTGTAACTATATACATCTATGGAAGGAAATGAAGATTAATCTCTGCTTCTTTGTATTTACTTAATTTATTAGGTTTGTGTTTGAGTGAAATGTTATTTATTTAGATCTGAGAACATTTCCTCCAAATTTCATATACATAAATGGTAATTAATGAATTATTTATTTATTTATGTATTTTTAGAAAATGTTGTTTTATACCTAGTGTTGAAAAGCTGGGTTATTTCACCAAATATTGATATCCTAACTCTTATTAAAGTAAACCATTGGTATTCTGTTGGCTAAAAATAAATTATTATAAGCATAAGTTTCTTCATTACTGGCCTTAAAATGGACATTATTTAATCACAAACAGGTGTAACAAATGTAATGTAACCATGCAATGTTCCTATTAAATTAAATGATACAAATTATTAATGTCATTGTAACGCTATTAAACGGTACGTTGTTAAATAATGTTAATTTTCACCTGTATATTGCATTGTATCAACAGAAAAATTACAAAATTATAGGGTCACATTTTACAATAATGTTCATTAGTTAATGTTAACTATTGCATTTACTAACATGAACAAATAATGAACAATACATTTACTGCTTTATTTGTTCATGTTAGTTAACGTTAGTTAATGAAAATACAGTAGTTCATTGTTAGTTCATGTTAACTCATGGTGCATTAACTAATGTTAACAAGCATTGACTTTGATGTTAATAATACATTAGTAAATGTTCAATTATGATTAATAAATGATGTACATGTGATGGTTATGATTAGTTCATGTTAGTAAATGCATTAACTAATGAACCTTATTGTAAAGTGTTACCAATTATAGTTTTACCCTAATTTTAGAGTTACTGCTGTCCAAGTCTGTCTAGTACTGCATCTTGTGTAGTGATGTCTAAATCCACATCACATTCCCATATTGCTAAGTCAAACATTGATAACATATTTAGTGGCCCAGCAGAAATGTAAAGAAAAATCTCCATTGGATTTGATCCAAATTACAGTGTATTCTAATAGTCTACATCAGTGGTTTCCGAACTCTGTCATGGAGGGCCAGTGTCCTGCAGATTTTATCTCCAGCTTCCCACCACACACCTGCATGGATGTTTCTAGAAAGCCTATAAAGAGCTGGATTATCTAGCCCAGGTGTGTCTGACTGGGGTCGCAACTAAACTTTACAAGACACCGACCCTCCAGGACTGGGTTTGGGCACCCCTGGTCTACATACTAGTGAAAATTCTCAATTTTAATTTTATATTTATATGTAAAAAAAAAAAAAACATCAGCTGGACTAGGCTGTGGTCACTTTAAGAGCTGAGACATTCCATCTTATGACCTACAATTTAGACAAACTCTAAATGTAAAAAATAATTTTCCCCCCGTATGCATGTCTTTTTTTAATAAAAAATAATAATTCTCGTTCAGTAATTAGGTCAGCACTGCATGCTCGGAGTTTTTAAAAATTTGGTGCATTAAACTTTAATAATCTCATTGAGAAGGTCATGATTTGCACTTGTTAATTTTTACTTTTACATTCTTTGCAGATACAATACACAGATGTTTTGGCACAATGCCCTCCTCAGTGCCGAAACGCCTGTTTTGTATCTGCCAAGAATGTAAAAAACTAGAAGTTACTTTAACAAGTGCAAATCATGACTTTCTGAATGAGATTTAAAATTCTTAGTGGATTTTTGAAGTAATGTTAGTTTTAACACTCGTCTATTAAAAGCAAATGCAGCATGTCTAATGATGTGGTGTTTTGAACAGTTGTATCCATTGTTTACATTTTTTCTTCTTTCAAACAGAATCCTGGATTTGACTTCAGTGGGGCAGAGATCTCTGGAAACTTTCACGGTGGAGGACCAGATTTCTCCAGCTTGCAAAAATAAAAGGACTGCTTTTCTAACTACTTAACACTTTTTTAAAAAGTGTTTTCTTTCTCCAATTTTATGTTTAAAATATAAGGAGCATATCGCAACAAAGTCAGCTATTGTTATAAAGCCATAATCATCACAAGCAGCCTATATGGTGGTTTTAATTTACAAATGCCAAGGTTTTTTTGTAGCCACCACCACAGTGGTTTCAGAAGACTGTTAGCACCGCAATCCTTTGAATTTCAATAAATCATATTCAAGCACTTCTGAAATGCCTCTTCTCAAACACCACAAACAAGCCAGTGCGTTTTACATTTCAATAAAGTTTTATTGAAAGGTTCAACTACATCAATTTGCAGAAAACTGCTTTCAAATTCCAGATTAGAGCCAAAACAAAAAGGAGCAATTTCAAATAACACAATCCATTTCAACAGTTTTATTTGTGTCACTCTTTTTTTTTGTTTTGTGTTAGTTTTATTGAAACCAGGCGTAAAACAAATGGTCATAGATACTGTAGTATTAACCAAATGTCCAAAAACAAAACAAAAAAACACCGGTCAATAAGTACTTAACTAATCCTTCCTCTTAAAGGCATATTAAATCAAGTTAAAACCTGCATTTCCAAAGCCATTCCACATTAGAAAGCAGAAGAAAAGAAAACATCTCGTTTCATCACCTTGGGTAGGAGTGTGCATTTCGACAGCCGACAACCTAGGGTGGGAGTTAAGGGTTTCGGGCCTGATCTCTTGGTTCTATTGTTGTAGTTTGAATCTCAAAACCCTTCTCCCTCCTCTTCCACACAGTGGACTGAGGACCTAGGCGGTTCTATACTTCATTGCTTCAAACAACCAGCGCTTTTTGCACCGATCCAAATGAACATACTGTACATGAGCAAGCCTTACCAGTAGAAGCCATAAGTAACTTGCTGAAAACCACTTTTGACTAGTAATCAAGATAGAATCAATGTCAATGTAAATGAATACAATTATGGAAAAGTGTTAACGTGAAAATATAAAGACTGGGGAAGTGAGTAGGAATTTAGAGTTAGGTACCCATAACATCATCTTTACAAACTATATAAAACCATAGTCTGAAGGCAGAAAATGTGATGACAGTCAAGCCATTCACCCATAGGACTGAATGTTGTTCAGTTATGGGCACTCAACACTAATAGTCTTAACAAGCATATTCAGGAATTGTAGGTAGATGGGCGATCTTATAGTAACTGTGCTTCAGTTGTCTGGCAGTTCTACCAGAAATCATCCACCGCAGTCTCTGGCCATTTGGCTTCTGGCACTTGGTGCTGGAATATTCAACCAGGCACTTGGCAACAAGCTCCCTCACACAAACCAGGTCTCCAACTTTAACCTGAAATGCAAATAACCAAAATAAATTCAGTTTCGGGGGGAGAAAAAAAAAAAAAAAAAAAGGCAAAATGTATCACTTGAATGCAAATTACAGAATCACCTCTTTAAAAAGCATATTAATGCTCCCATGCACTGTAATATATAACTTAATCTAGGTCGTTGAATAAGCGTTTAGTAGAGATGCGAGCCTACACCTCACAGTTCGGCTACAATTATCAGGCCATCGATTTGGTTCAATTCAATATCTGAGCATTAAAGATGCTTTCCATACATAAATTTATATTTTACTTCACAACACAGCAATTCTTGTATTAAAACGTATAAATAGATTTAGATATTATTTGAAATACAATTCTGCCCTTTAATACAAGCAGTCAGCACAGAACAACACGAGCATTCAGATCAAATGAACAATTGTAAATACATTGTCGAGCGAGTTTTAAGACCTCTATGATTGCTCACGCACTCAACGGAAAGAGCTGCAATTGGCTCTGGTGTTGTTCACCGATGATAAACACAGATCAATTGTAATTGCTGCTGCCAGTGATCAATGATAGACAAGAAGGACAAAACTTGCTATGGAGACACGCGCTCGTGTCTGGATCAACAGGTATCAATATAACAGCAGAGAGTAGATGAGGAAACGTTACCACACGCCAGCTGGTCAAAAGTCAAGAGAGAGACAAAAATGTAGATTACTTTAATTTTCTCAAAATCGCAGTAAAATAGGTGCTTCTGCTACATCTCAAGTGTAAGTGTAAAGGCCTGTGCACACAGAGACGTTTTATGCTCGCGTTTTTCGACGCCTCACGACTAAATAACGAACGTCAATGTGATCGTGCACAAAGCGTCATTTAAAAAAAAAAAAAAAAAAAAAAAAAAAAAAAAAAAAGTCTCATGCTCTTTTTGTTTTGACACGCTGCGTCAAAACTTTCTCCACCAATCAGATCGCCACTTTTGTTCACGTGCACGGAGCTGCTGAAGTTACAGTAAAAAGCACTTGGGAGGCGCTCAAGCGCAAAACTGTCAATGCGAGGGCACATTGAGGATGCCCATTGCCCAGAGGCAATATGAACGTTTAGCTGCCTATTGCACTGCTGAACAATAATAATTTCTTCATCACTAGAGCTGGAGCTGCTGCTTGAACCATCCATGCTTGTTTGAGTCATCAGTAACTTTAACAAGCGTGTGAACTTCCTCTTCTTTTGTGTTATAAGCGGGTGTCAGAAGCTTAAAGTTGTGTAGCGACATCTAACGTCAAGGAGTGAATTTGCACTCTTTTGCTTGATAACAGTGAAAATCGATTGGGTATGAATACGGAAAAACTTCTTGTAAAATGACGATAAACGCAAATGAAAAGCATCCCAGTGTGTAGGAACCTTAAGACTGTCCAGCAAACTCACACAGTAAATTGCGCAAGGTTTTTGCATTTAAGTAGTTGGATTGTTTTAATTTCTCACACTCACCTCCCTTGCCATATAGTAAGGCAGTATGTTAACTAGAAAATTATATAACTAGTTATAATTTTTACTGAACCGATACTGAATTTTTCGCATTTTCATTGCACCGAAAAAAACAATTGACACTCCCAAGTGTTTATGCATTGCCACTCCTAAAAATAGAACAGATTGTGCCCTTTGATTTTTTTTTTTCCTGATAATTACACTCGGATGCATCACCAAATAAAATGATTTCTATTTCACTATGAAAGATTCATTTTGACAACTGTGATCACTAAACTAGTTGCACAATACTGCTACATCTACACTAATATGGATACATTTTTACAATGGCGTCTTTATAAATGTTAAAAAAAAAAAAAAAAAAAAAGTGGGTTTCAACACTATAGATCAATAGTTTCCTGAAAGTTAGTTCTACGCCCTAATACCTGTACTCAAGATGCAAGATACTGTGATCCACAGCATTTCTGCCTGCCATTTTGTTTCTTTGAAATGAAAACGGTTCCAAATAGTCACTTTTGAGAGGGTTTTCAAAATACATTTGTTGATTTAAAAACACCATCTCAGTGTGGACAGTGAAGTCTAAAACAGAAATATGCCAATTTAATGGGCAACATGTAAACGTGATCTTAGGCTGTCTTCATGCCATTTCCCAACTAAATTGACATTTAAAAGTAGAAACTGTTTTGAGGCAATCTGTAAAGCAACTTTTCATTTGAAGAAACTCACATTTAAACTCTGCTGCAGACCATCTAGAGCCTCTTTTAGAGATGGAACTGGCTCATACTCGTGCTGATCCTCAATCTCCAGGGCCAGAAGAGACAAAGCAAGCAGGGAAGGCTGTAGAGACCGTTATATAGTTATGAAAAAGCTTCAAACATACTTGGACAATTAAAAAAATAAGATAATAATAATAATAATAATAATAATAATAATGATGCTGCTTACCTTTAGTTTAGTGAAAGTAAATGAGCAATGGCATGCCTTTAACTGTGCCTCAAGCCTCTCGATGTTCAGAATCTTCTTACTGAAAAACATTGGAAACATTTGTATAGGTGTACAATAGCTTTTAAATCAGGTTATGGTTATTTATAACAGAGAGGGAAAAAATTTTTCAAACATTCAAAACATTTATCAAAGACATTTAACAACTTTTTTTTGCATCACAGGTCATGGATTAAAAAAAAAAAAAAGCGATAACTTCAAAATGTTATAAAAATATTTCAAGTAAATGCTGTTTATTAGTTTGTCGTAAATTCCTGAAAAACAAGCCCATTGAGTGGGCGCTGCGAGGGTCTGTGAAGCTACAAACGAACATTGAAATAAATGCACTATAAAATGTATAGTCATTGTGTGGCACATTCCATGTAAGCCCCATTAAGTGGTGAAAGTTTAAGAATCCACCCAAAAGCACTCAAAGCAAGCGGTAATTGTTACTGGATCTCATCATAGTCCTACTTTGTTAGAAGATGGGGTAACTTCAATTTAAGCCAAGCTGCATCCAAAACATAAGCTCCATTGTCATCTATTTATGTAGCTATGAATGTTTATTTTTGATTTCACTTTTTTTTTTAATTTGATGCAAAAATGTAAAAAAGTTAAACATTAACCCTTGAACTGCCACAACAAGAAAAATTTTGGATTGCAATTATCAACTCAGTGTCGCTAGTTTACACAGAAATTTTGGGATGTTGAAGAAAAATGCATTAAAACATCCAACCAAATAGTAGATGTGTCATATCAAAATATGAAGTGTAGGACCAATTTATTTTAAAACAATCTTTATAAAACATGGAATACTAACTTTTTTTTTTTTTTTTTTTTTTAAGTATGCCAAAAAATTTCTCTCATTTAACATGATATTTGGTTTTATTGTAACAACAAAAACAAAACAAAAAACAAGTGTAGTAGTGCAACAGGATTATGTTTGCTTGATTTTTTTGTAAACCAACAATGCTGTAAGCCAATATTTGAAACGGTCAAAACATGGTCAACCAGGTTAAAAGGTTTTATGGACTTGGCCAATTACTTTGAGGCTTTGTATAGATGTAAAGGGAGTTCTAAAATTATTCTGAGGCTTATTAATTACCATAATTGATATCAGAATTATATCAGCTGAAATTTTGAAAAGGATCATAATATAAATTCTGGCCATAACATCCAGGGGTTCTTTCTTTGTACCTTGCTTAAAATAATCCAAGATGATTTGACAGATCCTGGATCTTTAAATCTTGATAACCGATCTCTGGCTAATTTGGTTCTTCAAACAAGTTTGCGAATCAGACAAATGTCTGGATGAACTGAGATCGCTGTTGTGAAGGACAGATCTATCGATCCTCGAAATCATGATCAGCAATGCAACGATTGGCTGATGGCACAGCAGCGTAATGACATTTTGTGATTGATATTCGATTACCCTTGTGAGCAAAATTACATAAAATTAGCAGTAAACGGTTTAAATATGACACGCAATAACATTCAGCATGTGTTGTGGGCTGCAGGCTTTACACTTTCATGTGTCAAGAGTATTCATCATGCATTTCATTTTTTTTTAATGGGCAGAAAATAACTATCAATTTTGCATCAAAGGATTTTGATATCGGTAAAGGGGTCTGAAACTTTTGGGAAGCAGCAAATCGGCATATTAGCAGTCAAAACACATGCATGACTGCATAAATTAGGATCCTTTTTTTTTTTTTTAAGTCGAATATTGTGCATGGACACGGTGTCTTAAAAGGGGCCTTTTAAAACATCATGAACATCAAAGTATGTTCTCTTTGAACCGCCAGGTGGCAGTCTTTGTACTTTTATTTCAGAGTGCAGATTGCATACGTTTTATTAGTATATATTTTACGTGTGTGTGATAATATAACTAATGTAAGATAATCAGCATTTAGTACATACTTTCAGTATTATATTTGCTTAAACTGACTGAATCTAATCCTGTTTATATGAAATGAACCTGCTCCCAAGCAGGTTTGAACAACCAGAACTGTTGCTATGACAATAAGTCTCAGATGAGTTTTGAAGAACTAAACGACCCTGGATAGTGTCAAATAGTCAATATCCAAATAAAGCTAATTCAGTAATCCACGTAGGAAGAACGGACACCAGGTCTACACAGTACCTGTTCAAACTGTTCCAAATCATACATGCAGTTTCACTTCAATAAAAAGTTTGTCTTAATAAAATAATTGTGTCAAAAACAAACAATGTATATATGGGGGTCAAGTCATTCACCTTTCTGTGTCCACTTTCTCTTGAATATGAGAGTGAAAGAATCTGAGGAAGTGAAGAGCAGTCGGAGCCTTGACCTTCCAGTTGAGCTTTTCCAGAATGATCTTCTCCATCCTCATCATGTCATGAACAGTGAAGCGATTCTGGCTGATCCTGATGAGGTCACTGGCCAGAGGGACATTTTTCTCCTCTTCTGAAGTCTTCACAGCGATGTAGAAGCAGCACAGACCCACACAAGACAGATGCTTGGGCTGAATCTGAAGAAAGAACAAAACCGTTCAAACTGTGAATCTCATATTCTGAAGGCCAAGTGCTGAAATGAGTCATATTTCACAAATATTGGAGCACACATACCTTCATCACAGCCAGGAATCGATCTAGGAGATTCACGGCAAAGGAAAACGTCTCCGCACAGAAGCCAAAGAATCGAGTCAAGGAGAGAAGCTCTCTCACTTGATAGTCTCTCAGCTTGACGGTCATTCGCAGACCATTATCCTGAGCGGACTCGATGACGCGGAGTCCACAGAGTTTGGGCTGATATCTGGACTCTTGGTCTAGAAGAGATTTGAGCTGGACTGTAAAGGGCAAAGCCCCCGTTTCGGTCACCTGGTCAATCATCTAAATAATAACGAAATAGCAACATTACTAAAGTACTGTTTAAGATCACAGCAATATTCATATACAGCAAGCATAATTTCCATACTGATCATGTGATTGTAAAGGTTAATTCTGAGGAAAACCAAACAGACCAGTTCCTAACTACTTTTTCCCCATTCACAATTTTTTTTTTTTTTGAAGGCTCTGCTCCCAAACATTACAATACAGAATAACTTTGATAAATATAATACCCAGTTCATAATTTTTATTACCTTTATTATTATTAAATCAGCACATTTAACTGTACAGTAGAAAAGAAAAGGTTTAAGCAAATTTGATTAAATCATACATGCCAGTGAGCTAAATTTAGGTTCAGAACACTTAATCAAATGAGAAACACTTAATCAAATGTGTACTACAAAACATTTTATCCATAATGGATTTTAGACTTTACACTGCCTTTAAAGCCTTAAACTGAAAGCTCAACCAACCAACATAAAGTAATAATAGGTCATTGCTAAACCTATTGAAATATTAGGTATATTGATTTATGGTTTTGTTTCTTTTGGTGAATCGACACGTCTTGCTCTACCAGTTTTAGAATATTAATACAAAAAGGGAATTAATTGTGAAAAAGTTCCCATCTAAAAACTGTTCTACAATATCTATGAATTAATTTGACACCACCGTGTGAAACTGTGCTCACCATGTAGGGCAGTTAATACAAGTGTCCATTTTGAAAAACGACGCGTTGAATGAACGCGACATGTCATGCCCGGGCATGTTCAGGCTTACGAAACTGACTCATTTAAAAAAAATTAAGTCATTTCTCTAAACTGCTTTTTTATATTAATTTGCGCTTAATAATCGTGAACGCGGTGTTGTAGAGCTGGGCTCCACAGACTGAAGCGTCACTGACTGTGCGCGAGGACCGCTGGTCATGTCTGGGCATGTCCGTCAACCAGTGGGTCAGCAATGGTTTAACACTAACACTTAACCATCGGAGTTTGCGTCATACTTCCAAATAACTTTTAGAAACAATATAATACATAGTTGCACTTTAACTTCAATGTTTGAAACTATGTAAAGTTATTTTACGTTAAGCGAACGGATGAAGAGAGTCTTCTGTTGTTTTAGGATGGCAAGTTAGAGGACATTTTTAGGCCTGATAAACGACCAACGAAACGACCAACGAAACATCTGTAGCCCGAGAAGTCACAATTTAATATAATGTTAAACCGTACACTGCGTATTTATGAAAAATACTTAAAGACCATGAACAAATAATTAAATCACTTACCTTTTGGCGATTATATGACTTTTTTTAAAACAAATATTTAAGAGTTTATTAAATAAAATATTAAAGAAGAAACTATTAAAAGTGGGAAAAAAAAGAAGAATGTTCTCAGTATGTAAGTTTAAAGCAAGTTTTACTTCTGCCCTGCACACCCCAACCCTTGGCGTCAGGCAGTGACGTGCAAGCTTCTTCCCACTTATATACCCTGAGAAAGTCCATATCCAAACATAGGATCACCTTATTGGGCAGTGCTGACACAGAGCTCTGTCTTTCTGAATCTCTATTGGTTCGTGCTTGGCTGTGTACACTTTAAAGACGCCCCCTTGGTCAGGCAGAGGCGGGGTTTGTTGCTTGCCAGGCGGTGCTTTGAAGTCCAGCATGTTAGATACACGCTGGTCAACAACAATTTTTATATACTGTTTATAAATATATATATATTTTTTTATTTATCTTTTTTATTTATTATTATTTATATTAAATCACCACCTTAAAGCTCTGCTATATTGAATTAGATTTCACAGAATTATTATTTTGCTAAATAAGTGTAAATGTTATATTATATTATATTATATTATATTATATTATATTATATTATATTATATTATATTATATTATTCATTTTCTTTTCGGATTAGTCCCTTTATTAATTTGGGGTCGCCACAGCGGAATGAACCACCAACTTATCCAGCATGTTTTTACGCAGCAGATGCCCTTCCAACCGCAACCCATCTCTAGAAAATATATTATATTATATTATATTATATTATATTATATTATATTATATGTTATGTTATGTTATGTTATGTTATGTTATGTTATATTATATTATATTATATTATATTATGTTATATTATATTATCATAAAACTAAGAACATGTTATATTATATTTAATAAAATCAAATAAAAAGCTTTATATTCAAATAAATAAACACATTTTAGACTAAGCAGTAAGCATTTATTTAGTGACAGCCTTAATATATGTGAACATTAAATAAAAATTCTGGATTCAAATCAAGTCATCTGGCCATGGAGCATGCAGAATGTGATTAATGAAGCAATAGTATTAATACATTTATGTAAATCAGTACCTCCCATTTTCTGTTTAACGGAGAGCAGATTTTTTTCAACACATTTCTAAACATAAAAGTTTTAATAACTCATTTCTAATAACTAATTTATTTTATTTTTGATGACACTAAATAATATTTTACTGGATATTTTTCAAGACACTTCTATACAGCTTAAAGTGGCATTTAAAGGCTTAACTAGGTCCATTAGGTTTACTAGGCAGGTTAGGGTAATTAGGCAAGTTATTGTATAATGATGGTTTGTTCTGTAGACTATCAGAAAAAATATAGCTTAAAGAGACTAATAATTTTAACCTTAAAATGGTTCCTAAACATTTTAAACTGCTTTTATTCTAACCGAAATAAAACAAATAAGACTTTCCCCAGAAGAAAAAAATATTATCAGACATGCTGTGAACATGTCCTTGCTCTGTTAAACATCATTTGGGAAATATTAAGAAAAAAAATCAAAGGGCTAGCAATTCTGACTTCAACTGTATATATAAACATAACACTGTCTTTTAATATCTGTAATACTCCTCTTCCTATTGTCCCTGAGAAACTGCTGATTGCATATCCTAGAAGTTTCTAGAAGGTTCAAGAGTTTTTAAAATGACAGGCTAACAAGTGCCAAAGCAAACATCCTATAAAAAAATAGGCAATACAATATCAGCAGGACACAAAAGATCTTTGTGCAAAAGCATATGTGCTCTAAACTCACAGACATCTATAAGTAAGCTCAATAGAAAATAAAAATAAAAAGGTTTTCTACAGATGTTTAGAAAATCTGAATAATTAATCTGCTGTAAAATAATTAATCTGCATCTGTAAAAATGTTAATTTACCATTTGATGACATGCAGCTGTTTTGTTTATTTATGATTTTGAGATTGCATTATGTGACCTTGATCTCTTCTCCAACAACTAACTTTTGTTAGGTATTATATTATATTATATTATATTATATTATATTATATTATATCATATTATATTATATTATATTATATTATATTATATTATATTATATTATATTATATCATATTATATTATATTATATTATATTATATTATATTATATTATATTATATTATATTATATTATATTATATTATATTATATTATAATGTAAGCAGTTCATTCTGCTGTGGGGACCCCAGTTTAATAAAGAGACTTAACCAAAAAGAAATTGAATGAATGAATGAATATCATATGTATAATGCAACAACAACCTCTGATCAAAAAAATCAGTGTGTGTGAATTTAAAACGACTCAAAAACATCTAAACAGTTAGTTGACTTTTTAAATTTTCTTATTAAAAGTAAATAATAAAGAAATAAATACTAATTAGGCGAAGCAGTAAACATTAATTTACTGGATAAATTTAACTATGATGCTTAAGTCATCTGGATAAAATTGCTCAGTGTGCTAGAAAGCAAACAAAGTAAGGATTAATGAAGCCATAAAATTATTAATCAATGTGATCTGTAATAAGAAGAATAAAAAAAGACCAAACAATGTTGTTCATTCAAACTTTCAACACCTGTTTCGACTGCCCTTGAGAAGCATTACATGACCTAGAAAGTTCTAGAACATTCCATGAGCTTAATGACGACTGTTCATGTAAGCATGTAATGCAACATGTAACATGTTCATGTAAGCAACAAACAATAAGTAATATTTTACTATATACTAAAAGAAATAAATATAATCAGTGGCAATTAGGCTACGCTAACGGCCAAGCAGATATAAAAAATAATGTTAAAAACAAAACACAAGTTGCTTAGAGAAGGCCATCTCTTTTATTTCTTTTTATCACTATTTTGTAAATTTTGCCGGAAAGACAACAAGAAATATGTTAAAAACACGTATCTGGTAAATTTTCTAGAAAACCTGAATGAAGTAATATCATGTTCTGATATTCTAAAATAAATGTGCCAGCTTAGACTGCGTAACGTTTCAGTACCACCAGATGGCGCCAAACAAAACACAACGCAACCTTCACACCAAGACCAAAGGATGAAGTCGACGTTTTCCATGCAAAGAGCATTTTATGCGTCTTTCAGTCATGCTGAGATCCTTTTTTAGCATTGCTTATAAACACGCATAATCCTGTTGCCTCTTTCCCTAACCCTCCTCACAACTATTTCTAGATTTAAATGACATGACAATCTGACAGCTCTGGTGCGGCTGCTAACAGACAGCACTCAATTTATTCCAAAAAGGTCCAAAAGAGCGATTCCCCAGAGCCAAGGGTTATAGACCTGCCTCTTTCACAAGCTTTCCCCCGGGATCATTTTAACCCAGTGCTTCAGTATGGTTGAGGGGTTTATTTCCAATGTATGAGATGTGAAGTGGGTCTGGCTTACCTCAGGTAATGGACTGTGCAGGAAAACAGCACGAGAAGCCATTTTGTTTTCTGCCTCTTTATATATGTGCATTAAAGGGCATCTATGATGAAAATCAACTTTTGTAAGCTGTTTGGAGAGAGCTGTGTAGGTATAGTGTGTCCACAGTCATATTAAGGTGATATAAAGGCAATAAGTCTCTTTTTTTTAATTTTCAGATGTTAAAATTAGAATTTTTTACCTCCTTTTTTGAGGCCCTCTGCAACGTGAAGTTGTAGTGCAGTTTCCCCGCCCACCAAATTGATAGCAACTGTGATTAAAAAGATCTGTACAGCTTTCTGTAATCATCAAATGTGGTCAAGAATGAGTTTTACAAGCTTAAAACATTTTTACCGTCTTTATCACCACAGCCGCATGTCAGTACAATTATAAAAGAAGACACTTTAATTGTGGACATTAAATCAGGTTTATTTTGTACATATATCCATGCAGCAGTGGATATTGGTGTGTATCCAGTCACAATTGCTGTGCAAAAACAGTGCGAAGGTAAATGTGTGCGCTATGTGTGTGTTTCTGTGTGTATGTGCGTGAACTTGTGTGACTCATCTTCCTCATCAACTCAACTCCACAACAAATACATCAAATAATCATTGGGAAAGTTCTTACTCTTGTATTTCTCACAAACGTTACATGAGAGCTGCTTCCTTCATGTCTGTCACTGTGCTGTTTATCTGACGCAGCCGAGGTGGAGATTGAGGCACACTCTGATAGGCATGTGGGAACAGTGGGAGGGGAGAACTACCATTAAAGGTATAGGCCAGAAAAACAGCTACAAAGTGTTCAGAGCAGAAAATTCTAATATTCTGAAAGGTATAACAAACAATCTGATGAGTGTTTTGAGCTGAAACTTTACAGACATATTCTGGAGACACAAAAGACTTATGTTAAACCTTGAAAAAAAAAAAGTAAAATAGGTGCCCTTTAAATTACCATGTTTGGGATAGTAAACTGGTACGTTTGTAAACTGCGTTGTAAAAGATCCTGTACACATTTTCAAGCAGGCACCTTGATGTAAAAGACATGTTAAAAATGTAAACCGATTTGATGTCAAAACCTTGACGTCCATTTGACTTACACACATTGATGCCCTTTTGACCACCAAAATAACTACACAAAAAGTATAACAAGAAATGTTTTACTCTCAGCGCTGGGTGGCAGCTGGAAGGGCATTCACTGTGTAAAACAATTGCCATGGTAATTGGGGGTTCATTCAGATGTGGCGACCCCTGATAAAGCCGGGAATAAGTTGAAGGAAAGTGAATGAGTGAGTGTGTAGTCAATTGAGATCAAATTGATTTGCATTTCTAAAGTCGTTTTGAAATCAAGGTGCCCGCTGAGATGGCTCGGTGTACAGTATCCTGCAGACCATGGCTGATCAATATGCTTAACGGATGCAGGGCTGATTTGAGAATGCTTAATTATTTCCTACTGATTGAGTATTCAGATATTTAAATAATCCTCTATTCTAAAATGGGGCAGCGCACTTATAAAGCCCCCTGTTGGCTTGTTTGGGTGGCAAAGCAAGCATACTCACAGACACAGCTTGAACAGGAGACCATACAAGAATCCTGCTGTTTGGAGCACATGGCTCATTATTGAGATTCATCTGCAGCTCTCTTTTCGCTGGAAAGCTTGGCAAAAAAACAACATTAACTCTCCAGGCCATGGCTGAACTGAAAATGCTTGACACAAACACAGCTGATCT